GTCGTGCTGAGCTTTGAACAGTGAGGGGAAATGTTTGCCACTCATTTTGCACCAACATCTCTTTTGGGGAGTTTGGACATGAGATGGAGAAAATAACAATTCCTGCACTCCCTCTTGCCTTCTACTTCACCCTGTTTGCCCTTGGTGAGCCCTGAGCTCGTTTCCCACACCTCCATCAGTGTGGCTCCAGATGTTCTGGGCCAAGGAGCCCCTGGGCTGGGGGAGCAGCACTTGAGTGCAGAGGCAAAGGGAGCTTGAGGGAACAGCCCCAGAGTCAGCGCCAGGACCGTCAGTGCCAGTGAGCACAGCTGAAGGAAAAGCCAAGGCAGGCAGGGATGGTCTCAACGTCCCTCATCAAGTCCCCCGCAACAGGAAAGCAATGCCATAACAAAAATTGTTGTGTTCAGTCCCTTCCTCACGATACACGGAGCAGAGGTAATGGTCTGAAAAAGCACCAGGGAAGGATTAGACTGGGAATTAGGAATAATTTCTTGGCAGAAACGGTGATGGTTTTTTGGGATTTGCTGCCGTGAGCAGTGGTACAGTCACCATTCCTGCAGGGAACTAAAAAGCTGTTGGATGTGGCACTTGTGCTCATGGTTTAGTGTTGGGGTTGGCAGTCCTGGAGGAATGGTTGGACTCAATATTCTTAGAGGTCTATTCCAACTTCAGAAATGTTATGGGACTGATTCTTGAAAGGGAAAGTCTCCACCGAACCAGGCAGGGTCCCCAGCTGCTCCCAACCAACCCTGCAGCAGCAGCAGGACACACAGACACAGCCCAGCCCTGCAATGCCAAAGTGCTCGTCTTTATTCAAGGTGGGAAAAGCAGCCCCTGCCCCAAAGACACCGGGGCTGGCACCACAGGGCTCCAGCCCAGCAGCACCCAGCAGGAGCAGCTGCCACTGCTGCTGCCAGCCCAGCTGGGCACGGCACAGCCACCGAGGCCAGGGGACATCAGCACATGGGGGCATCAGCACATGGGGACATCAGCAGGTCGGGACATCAGCAGGTTGGTCCAGCAGCCAGAAGCGAGGGCCTTGTCCTGCTTGGCAATTTCAGGGTCTCAACCCCATAGTGTGTATGAAGAAAGTAAACAAGCACATCAGCTGTTGTAGCTTTCCCTGCCACTCTGTCCCCTGCCCTGCAATGCCCAGGGTGAGGTGCAGCAGAGTCAGGCTCAGGGCAGGTGAGGTGCAGTCCTTAGTGCAGCCAGGTTGGGCCTGGGCTATCTCAGTGCTGGCAGCCCTGGCTCCAGGGCTGTGCAGATGCAGCCACACCTGGATCATGTCCTCAGTGCAGCCCAAGGACAGAGAATATTTCAGTTCTTGGTGGCCTTGGTGAGTGGGGCATCCATGGCTGACCTAGGCTAGCAGCCCCACTCAGGGCAGCTCCAAACCCATCAAGGACTTTTCCCTTTTTTTTGGTTTTTGGCATCTTTCAGAGAGCATAACTGCAGGAGAGTATTTTCAGCTGTTGGCAAGAAGGAAATTTGTAACAGATTTTTCTAGGGAAAAAGAAGGAAACTTTCCCCAGCCAGGATTGCAGAGCTTACCCTCTGCAGCATATGGTCTGTCCTGTACATCTACCAATGGGCCTTGCTGGGGGGACGCATCTCCCAAAGGAACAGTATCCTCTTTGCTGTCTGCATCGCAGTTCACTTCCTATTTCCAGAGGGAAAGGCACACATGGAACCATTAAAGCAACAATCAGGGACAGCAGTTTTATTATAGACAGACTGATGCTCCCCATGCATTTCAGGCCAAGGGCTCAGCTCCAGCCCCCCACAGTCACATCTCCAACTGCAATGTGTCTCACCTGGAAGGTGCCTGTGCCCCTAAACTGGAGACACAGTCGGACAGAGAGTGGAATGGACCAGTGTGAGGTTGAGGAAGAGCTGGGCTGGCTCCAGCTGTGGTCCCACCTCTGCCTGGACCAGCACAGCTGCCAGGCAGGAAGGGATTGCTCACATCCCACATCCCTGTGCCTGGGCCATGATTTGTGTGACCTCTGATGTAAAGTCCTTGTCCAACCCTTACAAGGATCATCCCTTGGGGCAATGAGGTTTTGGGACACTCAGTGGATGAACCCCTGGGTAAGAAGTGTCACCTCTGTAGCCCTGGAAACCTCCCCAATCCAAACACCCCATGGAGCCCTCTGCCATCCCTGTGCAGGGCAAGAGAACATCCAGAGAGTCCCAAATCGGAACAGCTGGGTGCAGGCTTGGAGCCTGAAACCACACCCCTTCTGAACCCACAGAACAAGCCAGGATTCTGTCTCCATGGGCTCTCTCCAACACAAAGTGGTGCCTAGCTGGAAACTCACTTGAAAAACCCCTTTGATCTCAATCCCCTGTTACCTTTTCATCACCTCCACAAACACAGACATTCTAGGGACACTGAATTCCCACTGCAGGGTGCTCACATTTTCTCCCATCTCCCCTCTTCCCCTCTCACCTGCAGCACCCTGGACCAACAGGAGGATCAGGGGGAAGAGCAGGAACAGGATCTTCATGGCTGCTGCTCCTCCTGGATCTGTACAGAGCTGCAGAGGGGACACCAAGGCAATGGGGACAGGCAGGACCCCAGGTGGGACAGGAGCCTGTGGCTCAGCAAAGTGCAGAGGGGCTGCCTCCAGCCACATCTGATCATGTTTCCTCTACCTTTCTCTAAAAACAATTCTCAGGCGTGTGCTAGCTTTCAAACCTTGGGAGTATTCCACTGTCTCAGTCTCTGGGAAATCAATAACCTACACTGATTCAATTACCTTCCTCAGAGATCTTCTAAAAGCTTTTCCCAGAGCACAGACTGCAGATCTGGGACCCACTCTTGCTGACAAAATCAAAATAAATGGCCAGTGAAATTTGGGAAATGCAGAGAAAAAATTGTTATTGAAAGTTATAGCAATAGAGGGCTGTTCCTCCTTTGGGCTTTATGTATCAAACACACGCCCCAAACACCCCGACCAATCCCCTCTGCTTCTCTGGTAACCAGAATATTCTCCCAGCTCAGCTTGGCAGTGCCCATCCCCAATTCCAGAGCATTCTCAGGGTTCCCAGCAAGGACATTCCCCAGCCCCACACTTACTGCCCCTGCCCTGGGCAGCACTGACCCAGGGAGTAGCCAGAGGGCAGGGAAATATCAGAAATGGGAACAGAAATCAACTTTTGCAGCTACTGAAAGCCTGAAATTATGGGAAATCTCCATACTGATTTGGGGAAAGTGCCATCCCTGTTTTGCTAAGGAAGTCCCCATTCTCCCAACAAAGATCTCATCTCCCTCTTGCAAAAAAGGCTCCACCCAAGTTTCTCCTGCACTTAGGAAACCCAAAATTATCTTTCCACATGTTCTGGACTCACAGACTTCTATTAAGTCTTTTATTCTCTTTCCCAGGCATCTCTGATAGCCAAGTTTTACACCTGGATAATTCCAGCAGTTTGTGCTTCAGGAGATGCTGCTCTGCTGGGCTTTGAGCTGAGACCCTGAGTGGGCAGAAATCCAGGGAAAAACCCCACACTCACCTGCCTGGAGAAGGTCTGGCTGTTGAGGCAGCAGCAAAGGCAAGAGGAATGGGTGTGTGCAGATGGCCTTGGGGCCAGGCAATGCTGCAGTGGCCCAAGCAGGCTGGGTTTATAGCACTGCTGGTGGGTGGGACAGGCCCCAGGTGCTGCTGGCACAAGTGGCCTGGGCCAAGGCGGGAGTGCCCCATGGCTGTGGGGTGCTGGGGCTGGCCCTGCTCCCTCCCTGCTGCAGGGCCAGAGGCTGAGGGGCCTCCTGGGGCTGTTGCAATCAATGGCACCGTTGTCCCCATGCAACACCTCTTGTGACACCCGCGGCACAGCGGCACCGGGCTGGGCACAAGAGGGATGGGATGGGATGGGATGGGATGGGATGGGATGGGATGGGATGGGATGGACAAGAGAGGTGAGTTGGTGTTGGGAAGAGTAGAAATGAGGAAATGCTTCCCCTCCTTTTGGTCTCCCACTTTTTCTGTTCTAAACTCAGAGTGGGATGTGGAAGATCTGACTGAATATTGCAATCGTGCTCAGCTTTGTACAGTGAGGGGAAATGTTTGCCACTCATTTCACACCAACAGCTCTTTTAGGGAGTTTGGAAATGAGATGGAGAAAATAACAATTCCTGCAGTCCCTCTTGCCCTTTACTTCCCCCCGTGTGCCCTTGGTGAGCCATGAGCTCGTTTCCCACACCTCCATCAGTGTGGCTCCAGATGTTCTGGGCCAAGGAGCCCCTGGGCTGGGGGAGCAGCACTTGAGTGCAGAGGGAAAGGGAGCTTGAGGGAACAGCCCCAGAGTCAGTGCCAGGACAGGTGAGCACAGCTGAAGGAAAAGCCAAGGCAGGCAGGGATGGTCTGAATATCCTTCACCAAATTCCCCAGGTCTGACAAGCAATGGCAGTGCAGACAGTTTTAGGGTCAGTCTCTTCGCCCCCCTAACAATTGGCAGAATGAGTGGAAATGGTCTCAAATAGCACCAGGTAAGGATTAGACTGGGTATTAGGAAAAATTTCTTTGAAGAAATCGTAATGGCTTTATGGGACATGCTGCTCAGAGCAGTTGTGATGTCACCATTCCTGCAGGGAATTTAAAAGCTATGTGGATGTGACACTTGTGCTCATGGTTTAGTGTTGGGATAGGAGTTCCCGGGGGAATGGTTGGGCTCAATATTCTAAGAGGACTTCTCCAATATCTGAAATGTTATGGGTGTGATTCTTGAGAGAGAAAGTCTCCAGTGAACCAGGCAGGGTCCCCAGCTGCTCCCAAGCAACCCCTGCAGCAGCAGCAGGACACACAGACTCGGCCCAGCCCTGCAATGCCAAAGTGCTCGTCTTTATTCAAGGCAGTAAAAGCAGCCCCTGCCCCAAAGACACCGGGGCTGGCACCACAGGGCTCCAGCCCAGCAGCACCCAGCAGGAGCAGCTGCCACTGCTGCTGCCAGCCCAGCTGGGCATGGCACAGCCACCGAGGCCAGGGGACATCAGCACATGGGGACATCAGCAGATGGGTGAAGCAGCCAGAAGCGAGGGCCGTGTCCTGCTTGGGAATTTCCGGGTCTCAGCCCCTGGGACTATAAGAAGACAACAAACAAGCACATCAGCTGTTGTAACTTTCCCTGCCACTGTCTCCCCTGCCCTGCAGTGCCCAGGATGAGGTGCAGCAGAGTCAGGCTCAGGGCAGGTGAGGTGCAGTCCTTAGTGCAGCCGGGTTGGGCCTGGGCTATCTCAGTGCTGGCAGCCCTGGCTCCAGGGCTGTGCAGTTGCAGCCACACCTGGATCATGTCCCCAGTGCTGCCCAAGGACCGGGAACGTTTCACTCTTTTTTGGTTTTGGTGAGTCCTCTGCAGAGTCTGAATGAGGCCCTGGGCACTGCGGCAGAGTGTGAAGGCCCTGGGTGAACTGGGGCTGCTGCAGCCCCAGTCAGGGGAGATCAAACATTCAAGAACTATTCTCTCCCTTCCTCAGCATTTCTCTCAAAGCTCAATTGCAGGAAAATATTTATTATGTGTTGTCAAGAAAGGTACAGGTAACAGATCTTTCTGGGGGAAAAAAAGGAGAAAGAACTTTCATCAGCCAAGGACTGGCCCTTACCTTTTGCAGCACACATATTCTCCAGCACATCTTCCAACAAAACGCGTACCAAAGGGACAAGAACGCCTGGAGCAGAAGCCCCCTTGTCGCCGGCACACAAGTGCATTGCCTGTTCCCATGGGAAAAGACACACACAAAGCAATTAAAGGAATAACCTGAGAGGTCAGACTGAAGCTATAGACAGGCTGATGCTCCCTGATGCTGGTGAATTTCAGACCAGGAGAAGGGCTCATATCCAATCCCTCCCCAGCCACATCTCCAATTGCAATTTGTCTCACCCGGAAGGTCCCTGTGCCCCTAAATTGGAGGCACAGTAGAGCAGAGAGTAGAAAGGACCAGTGTGAGGCTGAGCAAGAGCCAGGCTATCTGCCAGCTGTGTTCCCACCTCTGCCTGGACCAGCAGAGCTGGCAGGCAGGGATTTGTCACATTCCAACTGCCTGACCCACAGAACAAGCCAGGATTCTGTTTCCATGGGCTCCCTCCTCCCCAAGTCAGTGTCCATTTATAAACTCACTCAGGAAACACCTTTGACCCCAGTCACCTCTTCCCTTTTCATCATCCCCACAAACACAGTAACTTCCAGGGACACTGAATTCCCACTGCTGGGTTCTCACTCTTTCCCCCATTTCCCCTCTTTCATTCTCACCTGCAGCACCATGGACAAACAGGAGGATCAGAGGGAGAAGTAGGAACAGGATCTTCATGGCTGCTGCTCCTCTTCGGTCTTCACAGAGCTGCAAAGGAAGAACAAGGCAATGGGGACAGGTAGGAGACCCTGAGTGGGCAGGAATCCAGAGAGAGAACCCACACTCACCTGCTTGGAGAAGGTCTGGGTGTTGAGGCAGCAGCAAAGGCAAGAGGAATGGGTGTGTGCAGATGGCCTTGGGGCCAGGCAATGCTGCAGTGGCCCAAGCAGGCTGGGTTTATAGCAGTGCTGGTGGGTGGGACAGGCCCCAGGTGCTGCTGGCACAAGTGGCCTGGGCCAAGGCGGGAGTGCCCCATGGCTGTGGGGGTGCTGGGGCTGGCCCTGCTCCCTCCCTGCTGCAGGGCCAGAGGCTGAGGGGCCTCCTGGGGCTGTTGCAATCAATGGCACCGTTGTCCCCATGCAACACCTCTTGTGACACCCGCGGCACAGCGGCACCGGGCTGGGCAGGAGAGGGATAGGATGGACAAGAGAGGTGGGTTGGTGTTGGGAAGAGTAGAAATGAGGAAATGCTTCCCCTCCTTGTGGTCTCTGGTTTTAACTCTTCTATATCCATAGTGGGATGTGGAAGATCTGACTGAATATTGCAATCGTGCTCAGCTTTGTACAGTGAGGGGAAATGTTCGCCACTAATTTTACACCAACAACTCTTTTGGGGAGTTTGGAAATGAGATGGAGAAAATTAAATTTCCTGCAATCCCTCTTGCCCTTTGCTTCCCCCCGTGTGCCCTTGGTGAGCCCTGAGCTCGTTTCCCACACCTCCATCAGTGTGGCTCCAGATGTTCTGGGCCAAGGAGCCCCTGGGCTGGGGGAGCAGCACTTGAGTGCAGAGGGAAAGGGAGCTTGAGGGAACAGCCCCAGAGTCAGTGCCAGGACAGGTGAGCACAGCTGAAGGAAAAGCCAAGGCAGACAAGGATGTTCTGAACATCCCTCACCAAATCCTCCAGGTCTGGAAAGCAATGGCATTACAAATATTTTTGTGTTCAGTCTCTTCCCCCAGGATACAAGGAGCAGAGGAAATGGTCTGAAAAAGCACCAGGGAAGGATTAGAGTTGGCATTAGAAACAATTTGTTTGCAGAAAGGGTGATAGTTGTTTAGGACATGCTGCACAGGGCACTGGTGATGTCACCATTCCTGCAGGGAATTTAAAAACTCTGTGGATGTGGCACTTGTGCTCATGGTTTAGTGTTGGGGTTGGAGTTCCTGGGGGAATGGTTGGACTCAATATTCTTAGAGGTCTATTCCAACTTCAGAAATATTATGGGACTGAGTCTTGAGAGGGAAAGTCTCCACCGAACCAGGCAGGGTCCCCAGCTGCTCCCAACCAACCCTGCAGCAGCAGCAGGACACACAGACACGGCCCAGCCCTGCAATGCCAAAGTGCTCGTCTTTATTCAAGGTGGGAAAAGCAGCCCCTGCCCCAAAGACACCGGGGCTGGCACCACAGGGCTCCAGCCCAGCAGCACCCAGCAGGAGCAGCTGCCACTGCTGCTGCCAGCCCAGCTGGGCACGGCACAGCCACCGAGGGCAGGGGACATCAGCACATGGGGACATCAGCACTTGGGGACATCAGCACTTGGGGACATCAGCAGATGGGTGCAGCAGCCAGAAGCAAGGCCCATGTCCTGCTTGGCAATTTCAGGGTCTCAGCCCCAGACACTGCCAGAAGAGAAGAAACAAGCACATCAGCTCTTGTAACTTTCCCTGCCACTCTGTCCCCTGCCCTGCAATGCCCAGGGTGAGGTGCAGCAGAGTCAGGCTCAGGGCAGGTGAGGTGCCGTCCTTAGTGCAGCCAGGTTGGGCCTGGGCTATCTCAGTGCTGGCAGCCCTGGCTCCAGGGCTGTGCAGATGCAGCCACACCTGGATCATGTCCTCAGTGCTGCCCAAGGACAGTGAAGGATTCACACTTTGGTGGCTTTGTTGAGTGGGAGGCCCTGGCTGACCTGGGGCTGCTGCGGCTCCTCTCAGGGTATCTCCAAGCACCTTCCCATCCCTCCCCTCAGCTCTGCCTTCTGTCCCAAAGAGCCCGGAACCTTTAGTGACTCAGGGCCCTTAAACACTTTCTGCCATGTCAGCAACATTTGTAATTCCAAAACTTACTTTTTGCAGCAATAGAAGAACCTGGAACATTTTCCTTTGATGACCCAGGGGTATTTGCAGCTCAAAAATCCACAGTAGCCATTTTCTTTCTGACACTCTTTCTTGTTTGTTGGCGCCAAGGAGGATCCTGCTCAGTGAAACAGGTCTAAGTGAGTTTGGCATGAAAGTCAAAATATGCCTGGTTCCAGAGTAGCTGCTGCTGGCTCTGAGTCCCAGTCTTATATGGGAACTGAACAACAAAACCAACGTTTTAAACTCTCCAGTCAAGGTTAATTTTTTTCCTCAGCAATATGTTCATGTGGGGAAAGACAGAGGGAAAGATCAGCAGGATCCACAGGACTTGCTATGCTGGCCCTTCAGCTGCCCAGACCTTCGTCACAGCAAGTCCCTCCCAAATGTTATAAATACCTAAGAATTCTGGTCACATAACAGGACCAGGAAAACCCATCAGGTGAGGGTTCCCAACTCAGTCATGTCCCCTCTGTCCCTCTCACCTGCAGCACTGTGCACCAGCAGGAGGAACAAGGGCAAGAGCAGGTAGAGGATCCTCATGGCTGATGCCTGTCCTGGGTCTTCTTGGGGCTGCAGAGGGAACACACCAAGAAGCAAAGCAGGGTCAAGGATTGAGGGGAATCTTTGTGCCTGGAGAGGCCAAGCTAAATGAGGTCTTATCCAATGTTGCCCATTGCCCAAGCCAGCCCAAAGCTTGCTGCACAAACACCCTGCAAAATCCCCTTTGCTTTCCAAAAGTGTGAAAAGTCATCTCAGCTCTGCTGGCAAATATCCATCCCCAACTCCAGAGCATTCCCAGGATTCCCAGCCAGCCCAGTCCCCATCCCTGTGCAGCACTGACCCAGGGAGGAGCAAGAGGGCAGGGAAGGGTCTTGGTGGGCTGGAAGTGAGTCCCCAGTGACCTACCTGAGAAAGGTGTTGTTTCAGAGCACACCAAGGTCTGTCTGTAACAAACCAAGCTGGAATGTCTTGTGTGAAGAGTCCAGCTCAGGGAGTGTCCCTGTGCCCCAAGCACGCCGGTTTTTCCCCATTTCCAGTGGGTGGGGCTGGCACAAGTGGCCTGGGCCAAGGCGGGAGGGCCCCATGGCTGTGGGGGTGCTGGGGCTGGCCCTGCTCCCTCCCTGCTGCAGGGCCAGAGGCTGAGGGGCCTCCTGGGGCTGTTGCAATCAATGGCACCGTTGTCCCCATGCAACACCTCTTGTGACACCCGCGGCACAGCGGCACCGGGCTCGGCACGAGAGAGATGGGATGGACAAGAGAGGTGGGTTGGTGTTGGGAAGAGTAGAAATGAGGAAATGCTTCCCCTCCTTGTGGTCTCTGGTTTTAACTCTTCTATACCCGTAGTGGGATGTGGAAAATCTGACTGAATATTGCAATCATGCTCAGCTTTGTACAGTGAGGGGAAAGGTTTGCCAATCATTTCACACCAACAGCTCTTTTGAGGAGTTTGGAAATGAGATGGAGAAAATAAAATTTCCTGCATGCCCTCTTGCCCTTTGCTTCCCCCTGTGTGCCCTTGGTGAGCCCTGAGCTCGTTTTCTACACCTCCATCAGTGTGGCTCCAGATGTTCTGGGCCAAGGAGCCCCTGGGCTGGGGGAGCAGCACTTGAGTGCAGAGGGAAAGGGAGCTTGAGGGAACAGCCCCAGAGTCAGTGCCAGGACAGGTGAGCACAGCTGAAGGAAAAGCCAAGGCAGGCAGGGATGTTCTGAACATCCCTCACCAAATTCTCCAGGTCTAACAAGCAATGGCAGTGCAGTCAGTTTTGGGGTCAGTTTCTTCTCCCACGTAACAATTGGCAGGGTGAGAGGATATGGTCTGGAAAAGTACCAGGGAAGGACTAGAGTTGGCATTAGAAATAATTTGTTTGCAGAATGGGTGATGGTTGTTTAGGACATGCTGCACAGGGCACTGGTGGTGTCACCATTCCTGCAGGGAATTTAAAAACTCTGTGGATGTGGCACTTGTGCTCATGGTTTAGTGTTGGGGTTGGCAGTCCTGGGAGAATGGTTGGAGAGTTGGAGTCAATTTTCTTAGAGGACTATTCCAACTTCAGAAATGTTATGGGACTGATTCTTGAAAGGGAAAGTCTCCACCGAACCAGGCAGGGTCCCCAGCTGCTCCCAACCAAGCCCTGCAGCAGCAGCACCAGGACACACAGACACGGCCCAGCCCTGCAATGCCAAAGTGCTCGTCTTTATTCAAGGCAGGAAAAGCAGCCCCTGCCCCAAAGACACCGGGGCTGGCACCACAGGGCTCCAGCCCAGCAGCACCCAGCAGGAGCAGCTGCCACTGCTGCTGCCAGCCCAGCTGGGCACGGCACAGCCACCGAGGGCAGGGGACATCAGCACATGGGGACATCAGCACATGGGGACATCAGCACATGGGGACATCAGCCAGAAGCGAGGGTCATGTCCTGCTTGGCAATTTCAGGGTTTCAAATCCAGTCACTGTAAGAAGAAAAGAGACAAGCACATCAGCTGTTGTAACTTTCCCTGCCACTGTCTCCTCTGCCCTGCAATGCCCAGAGTGAGGTGCAGCAGAGTCAGGCTCAGGGCAGGTGAGGTGCAGTCCTTAGTGCAGCCAGGTTGGGCCTGGGCTATCTCAGTGCTGGCAGCCCTGGCTCCAGGGCTGTACAAATGCAGCAAGTTTGGGATCGTGTCCTCAGTGCTGCCCAGGGACAGGGAATGTTTCCCTCTTTGGTGGCTTTGGTGTGTGGGTAGGCCTTGGCACTCGTTTGTCTCCTTCAGCCCCACTCACAGCAGCTCCAAACCCCCAAGGAAAAGACTTTTCCCTTCCTTCTTCAGCATCTCTTTCAAAGCATAAATGCAGGAGAATATTTATCATGAGTTTTCAAGAAAGAAATATTAAACAGATTCTTCTGTGGGAAAAAGGCAAACCTGTCCTTAGCCAGGAAATCCAGGTCTTACCTTTTGCAGCACACGGACATGTCTGAACATCTTCCAATAGTTCTTAGAGGGGGGCGACATCTTACAGAAGAACAAAATCCTCCTCTCTGATTGCATTGAATTCTACTCCCTGTTTCCATGGGGAAAGACACACAGAGAATAATTACAGCAATAATCTGGCAGAGCGGGTTGTGCTTGCAGTCCTGCCTGCGCCATGATTCATGGGGCCTCTGATGAATAGTCCTTGTCCAGCCATTGCAGGGATCATCCCTTGGGGAGATGAGGATTTGGGACACTCAGTGGATGAACCACTGGATAAGAAGTGTCACCTTTGTGCCCCAAGAAACCCCCCCCAACCAAACACCCCATGGGGTCCTCTGCCATCCCTCTGCAGGGCAAGAGATTTCTAAAGAGGAACAGCTGGGTGCAGGCGTGGAGTCTCAAAACCAAACCCCTTCTTAAGCCATGGAACAAGCCAGGTTTTTTTCCCATGGGGTCTCTCCACCCCACATCAGTGTCCAGTTGGGAACTCACTCAAAAACCAGCTTTGACCTTGATACCCCATTACCTTCTCATCACTCCCACAAACTCAGTCACTTCCGGGGACACTGAATTCCCACTGGTACAGGCTCACACTTTCTCCCATTTCCCCTCTTCCCATCTCACCTGCAGCACCCCGGACCAACAGGAGGAGCAGGGAGAAGAGCAGGAACAGGATCTTCATGGCTGCTGCCTCTCCTGTGTCTTCAGAGAGCTGCAGAGGGGTCACCAAGGCAATGGGGACATGCAGGACCCTGGGTGCAGAAACCTGGGCTCTGTGATTCACCAAACTGTGGCTGCTTCCAGTCACAGCAGATGACATTTCCTCTACCTTTGTCTTTAAAACAATACTTAGGTCTGTGCCACCCTTCAACACCTGGGGTATTACACTGTGTCTTGGTCTATAGGAAATCAGTGACCTAAGAGGATTCATTCCCATGACCTCCCTCAGAGCTCTTCCAAAAACCTTTCCCTAGAGCACTGACTTGAGGTCAACAGTTGCCAATTCAAACCAAATAAATTACCAGTGAAACTGGGGAGAGGGAGATAAAATTGCTTTTGGAATTGCTGAAAACCTGAAATTGTGGGAAATCTCTCTACTGCTGTGAGAACAGAATCTCCTTCCTTTCCAAGGTAAAGTCCCCATTCCCCCAGCAATGATTTTGTCTCCCTCCTCCACCATCAAGGCACCATTCCAGTGTCTCCCGTACTTAGGAAACTTCAGGTCTACTTCCCACAAGTTCTGGCCACCTATACTCACCTGAAGGCTTTTATTCTCTTTCCAGTGTCGCAGTTTAACGAAGTCTGGTTTTCAGTTGGGGTGCGGTCCACAGGCCGCGGGGGTGGTTCCCTGTGGGGGACCCAGCTGAGCCAATCAGCTGGCTAGTTTTGAAGATTGACACCCGGTTCAACCACTTAAAAGAGTTGAACACGCCTCCATGAAGACACATATAAAAACGAACAAAGGGCTGGAGAAGTCTTTTGGCTTCTGGCCTTTGAATAGGAAACTGGCCAGGCTGGGCAGGCCTTGTGTGGGGCTGGCCCTGTGTGGCCAGGCCGGCTTGGCCTGCAGCAGGACTTGGCATGGCTGAGATTTCTGCCCTCTGAGGGGTGGTGAGCAGCTGCTGAGATTTCTGCCCTCTGAGGGGTGGTGAGCTGCTGCTGAGATTTCTGCCCTCTGAGGGGTGGTGAGCAGCTGCTGAGATTTCTGCCCTCTGAGGGGTGGTGAGCTGCTGCTGAGATTTCTGCCCTCTGAGGGGTGGTGAGCAGGCTAAGGTTTCTGCCCTCTGAGGGGTGGTGAGCAGGCTGAGGTTTCTGCCCTCTGAGGGGTGGTGAGCAGCTGCTGAGCCCCTCATCATGGAGCCCACCAGGCCCTGTCCTGATGGGGCAGCTCGGGCCCCTTCCCAGCAGGACTGGGCCTCTTTCCCAGCAGTTAAAAACACCAATCACTTGTTTTTAAAATTTTAAAATTTTAATAGTAATAAAATGGTTATGAAAATAGTAATATAATTAGAGTAATAATAACTTGAACAATTTGGATTAGGACAATATGAGACAACAGAAATAAAGAGGATATCCGGGTACTTTTTTCTGGGCAACAGAAGCCCGAAAAAGGACCCACATTAACAGAGGATTAACCCTTAGATACAACAGCCTGTTGCATATTTATACACCTCATATATGATGCATAAATTCCATTCAAACACAGAATTCTGTCTGGTCAGTGTTAGCTTCTTCCTCTTAATCCTGATGGCATCTTCATGGCTAAGCGAGGCGGGAAGAAATTTGTTTCTTCTGATAATGGGGCAATAAATTCTCTTTCTGTGAAAGATTTAGTTGTCCTGTGGCTGCTATCTCAGTGCAAGTCCTTTCTTTAAAAAATATCTTACTTAGCATAGTTTCTATTTTAACATTATGTTATAACCTAAAACTATATTTAACACAGTACTTAAGAAAATTAATACAGCATAACTTTCTAACATAACACATGTAATATTCATTTTAATATTTGTGAAAAGCCAACCTTAAATACACATTTTTAACAACGGCGGAGCCCCCAGGTCCTTTTTTTCCAGCAGCACTGCTAGGCCATGCTGGCTGGGGGCTGTTGTGGCATTCACATTCTCTGGAAAAATCCCTTTGCCCAGGATTTTTTCTCCTGGGAAGCTGAGAAGCCTCAGAGAAAAGGGAAACCATTCTTATCTCATTTGCTTCTCCTGTGTTGTGCTCACACGTGGAATGTGTTTGGAGATTGTTTATCCAGAGGTGATTGTTCCATTGGATTCTGGTGGGTTGTTTTCACTCATTGGCCAATCAGTGCCAAGCTGTGTTGGGACTGTGGAGAAAGTCATGAGTTTTCATTATTATCTTTCTAGCATTCTGTAAGTATCCTTTCTGCATTCTTTAGTATAGAATAGTTTAGTATTCTTTAATATAATATAGTTTCATAAAGTAATAAATTAGCCTTCTGAGAACATGGAGTCAGGTTCATCATTCCTTCCTTTGTCGGAGATCGGGGCAAATACAATAGGCTATTACAGGCACTTGAAGCAACCATGCAGCCAGGACCAGCACCAGCTGCCATCGGCACTGGGGATGGCCTTGAGGCCAGGAGCAGCCAGAGCCACATGGCCACTGCTATCCTGGACTGGAAGCAGCCACGTGGACAGGACTGTGCAGCTGAAATCAGCACAACCAGGACAACGGTGCATGGCCATGGCTGCCTCGACATGACTCCCCATGAACTTTTTTTAGCTGCTTGTCTTGGTTTGGAAAGACAGGTGCCTGCTAAGGAAGTCAGGAACTTCCCCTGAAATGGAGAAAATGAACCCCTTCCCCACTCCGAACTGCTATAAATTTTAAATTAAGGGGCTCTCAGGCAGCAAAAATTATGGGAGCAGGAAATAACAGTTCTTTAATAGGGAAGAAAATAAAAGGATAAAATAAACAATGCAGTAAACTAAGACAACACTGACAGAGTCAGAACCCAACCTGACGCTCTGTTGGTCAGGGTGTTGGCAGCAGTCCAATTGGAAATGTGGCTGCAGTCCTCCTCGGGTGTCAGGTGGGGTTCTGCTGGAGCAGAGATCCTGTAGAAAAGGCTGTAGTCTTCCTCTGAAAATCCCGTGGAAGAAGAGGCAGCTGCTATTCTTCTGGGAAATCCAGTGGAGAAGCTGTGCTGGTGTTCCAGAATCTCCAGATCATATCTGGGTAGGAATGTTTGGCTCCTCCTTCCAGGTGGAGCATCTCCCAATGGGATGCTGTAGTTCTTATCAGCCATGCAGTGACATTCAATAGCTGTTATCAGCAGATGTCCCCTCCTGAGGAAGGAGTGATTGTGATCACTCAGAGAGAGATAAGGCAAACTGCCCACTTGACAAAGACAGCTGCCATACAGAAGGTGATAGAATACATCTTGCCTTGCAATCTGGAACACTGCTTTTAGCCAGCCATGCTGCAGACAGAAGGACAAAACCACCAGCCCAGCTTTTTTTGTTTTTGACATTTCGCATGGGAGGGGATTGAGGAGATGTCTTAGTTTCTGGGCTGAAATTCTCTTGTGGGGCTATGGTGAAGATATAATTGATATATCAGACTTTGCTTTTTCCCTGTAATTCATGGAATGCATTGGGGGATGTATCATTTTAGCTACAGCCATGAGCAGAAGCACCAGTGTGAAATAAGCAGATGTTGCAGTACCTGTGATCCAATGAGAATCTTGAACAGAGAGAGATGAGAGAGATGAGAAGTTTTGCCCCAGGAATAAAAAAAGAAAACCTTTGTTTTCCCAGAGGTGGATGAAGAGAACTTTTGCTTTTATGCAAGAACAGCTCATCCTTAAAATATCACCCCAATAAGCTGACATAGCCCATGAAAGCAGCGGTGGGAGAGCTGCAAGGCATTGGGAGGGACTTTCACACTGCAAACAGATTTTCCTTTTCTGGGTGGCTGATTCACTGTGACATTGAAGCCATGAGAGAGCTGTTTCTTGTGGAAAGCTCTCCATGACATGGCAAGAGAGATTCCGCTCCCTAAGAGAACTGAAGAAACACTATTTTAGAGGTGGTGAACTGACTGAAAGTCACAGGTTTTGTCTTGTTACAATGTCAGTGGGAAAGAAAAGAAGGTGTGGGGACGAGAAGTGTTCTGAAAATTTCTTCTGATTTCCTAATATTATTTAATTATATTCTGTTGATACATTTTTCTTTATTCTCTTTAAAGTTTTAGCAGCAGAAAATGAGTAAATAATTCTAGTGGGTGCATGGGCATTTGGCCAGCATTAGACCCACTGCACCCAGCCATCTCTGATGGCCACATATTCCACCTGGATGCTTCCAACACTTTGTCTTTTCAGAGACTCTGTGGTGCAGGGCTTTGAGCTGGGACCCTAAATGGGCAAGATTCCAGAAAGGGGCCGTGCATTCACCTTCCTGAGAAAGATCTTGGTGTTGAGGCAGCAGCAGAGCCAAGAGGAATGGGTGTGTGCAGATGGCCTTGGGGCCAGGCAATGCTGCAGTGGCCCAAGCAGGCTGGGTTTATAGCAGTGCTGGTGGGTGGGACAGGCCCCAGGTGCTGCTGGCACAAGTGGCCTGGGCCAAGGCGGGAGGGCCCCATGGCTGTGGGGGTGCTGGGGCTGGCCCTGCTCCCTCCCTGCTGCAGGGCCAGAGGCTGAGGGGCCTCCTGGGGCTGTTGCAATCAATGGCACCGTTGTCCCCATGCAACACCTCTTGTGACACCCGCGGCACAGCGGCACCGGGCTGGCATGGGGTGGAACAGATCTGCACTGCAGGGGTGAGGGGAGCTTGTGGTGACAGCCGCAGGGTCAGTGCCAGGAGAGGTGAGCACAGGGGGAGGAAGGGCCATGGCAGGCAGGGATGATCTGAACATCCCTCACCAAAATGTCCACTTCTGGAAAGCAATGGCAGCAGAAGCCTTTGGGGGTTACTGTCTTCTCTAAAGTCATAATTGAGACCACCAGGGGAAATGGCTCAATTAGCGCTAGGGAAGGTTTAGACTGGATATTAGGAACAATTTCTTGGAAAAAAGTGAGGTCAAACATTGGATCAGGCTGCCCAGGGCACTGAAGGAGTAACCATCGCTGATAGAATTTCACAGCCTATTAGATGTGGCCCTTGGGGACATGTGTTAGTGCTGGGGGAAGAGTGGGACCCAATGATCTCAAAGGGCTTTCCAAACATTAGTAATAAAAAAAAAAATTATAATACATATAATCAAAAAAATTTCATCAAAAAAATTATAATACAAACTTTAGTAATTAATTCTCTGAGTCTATGACTCTTGGACTCTTGAGAAGGAAAGTCTTCACTGCAACAGGCAGGGACATAAGTTGCTCCCTGGGCATGTGGGCATGGACACACACAGATATTGAGCCAATCAAATCCTAATGCCTGAGGTTTGCTTTGCAGACATGGACAAGTCACTGCTCTTGATGGACCAGTGTTGTCACCCTAGACTGCCTGAGATGAGCAGAGAAAAGACAACACACTTATTACCTGTGTGTAAAATTTTGGACATTTTCTGGCCATGCTCAATTTGGAGCCATTTCACAGGTCACCCTAACCCATGAGCTACAGGAGCTACATAATCTCCTCCTCCTGCCTGGTGGCATGGGGTGTGGAGCAGCGCAGCCACAGCAGGGAGGGCTGTGTCACATGAACAGGACAAGGATGAGCAGCAGGGACAGCTCCTGTGGAGGACCAAGGTCATGGCCACTCAAGGGACACAGCCGCCAGCACAGCTCTGCACATGGAGCTGAGGCTGCCAAGGACAAGGGACACTCATAATCAGCAGGATCAGGATAAGGATCCTGCTCCCTAGAGGGGGCATCTGCAGGGCAGCCCCAGCACAGGCAGCCCAGCCAGGCTGGCCCAGCAGGCAGTGCCAGGCTCAGCGTCCCCAAAGCACGGCCAGGCAGGAGCATCCCCAGGGACACAGGCGCTGCTCAGCCCCAGCTCCATGCCCAGGGCCTTCTGCTGTCACCAAGGCAGTGGCAGCCCCAGGGCCAGCAGGCACAGCAGCCCTGCAGCAGCAGCAGGACACACAGACACGGCCCAGCCCTGCAATGCCAAAGTGCTCGTCTTTATTCAAGGCAGGAAAAGCAGCCCCTGCCCCAAAGACACCGGGGCTGGCACCACAGGGCTCCAGCCCAGCAGCACCCAGCAGGAGCAGCTGCCACTGCTGCTGCCAGCCCAGCTGGGCACGGCACAGCCACTGAGGCCAGGGGACATCAGCACATGGGGACATCAGCACATGGGGACATCAGCAGGTGGGGACATCAGCACATGGGGACTTCATCACTTGGGGACATCAGCAGATGGGTCCAGCAGCCAGAAGCGAGGGTCATGTCCTGCTTGGGAATTTCAGGGTCTCAGCCCCAGACACTGCAAGAAGAGGGAAAACAAGCACATCAGCTGTTGTAACTTTCCCTGCCACTCTGTCCCCTGCCCTGCAATGCCCAGGGTGAGGTGCAGCAGAGTCAGGCTCAGGGCAGGTGAGGTGCCGTCCTTAGTGCAGCCAGGTTGGGCCTGGGCTCTCTCAGTGCTGGCAGCCCTGGCTCCAGGGCTGTGCAGATGCAGCCACACCTGGATCATGTCCTCAGTGCTGCCCAAGGACAGGGAATGTTTCAGTCCTTGGTGGCTTTGGTGAGTGGGGAGGCCCTGGCTGATCTGGGGCTGCTGCAACTCTACTCTCAGGACAGCTCCAAACCCCCAAAGAAAAGACTTTTCCCTCCCTTATGGGCATCTCTCCCACAAGGAACAGATAAAGAGATTATGTATCAGACATTCACAGGAAATACATTTGCTACATATTTCATTGTGGACAAAAGCGGGAACTCTGTGCTCAGGCAGGATTCCAGACCTTATCTCTTGCAGCACACACTATACAGTGTGCATCTTCCAATGGGTCTTGCAGGGAAGTTGCATCTCCCATAAGTGCAGAATCCCCCTCTTTGCCTGCATCCAGCTGCATTTTGGGTTTCCATGGGGAAAGAAACATACAGAACAGTTAAAGGGGTCATCTGTAAGAGCAGTGTGTGGTTGCAAAAAGCTGGTGGAGTTTGTGCATTTCTGGGCAGTGGATGATTCAGCTCCAACCTCCCCACAGCAAAGATCACACACAAGGCAAAAGAACATTCAGAGACACCCAAAGAGAAACAGCTGGGTTCGGTGTGGAATTCTGAAACCAAACCCCTTTCCTAACCCACCAAAGAAACGAATATTCTATTTCCATGGGCTCTTTCCACCCCAAGTCTGTGTCCTATAGAACTATCACTGGAGAAACACCTTTCTCCTCAATCCCCCCTTACCTTTGCATCACTCCCACTAAAGTGGTCACTTCTCAGGACATGGAAACCCCAGTAATGGAGGATCACACCTCTCCCCGTCTCCCTACTTTGCCTCTCACCTGAAGCCCCCCCTCTCACCAACAGGAGGATCAGGGGGAAGAGCAGGAACAGGATCTTCATGGCTGCTGCTCCTCCTTGGTCTTCACAGAGGGGACACCAAGGCAATGGGGACAGGCAGTGTTAGCGTTCAAAAACACATAATCACGGAGCGATTATATGCGGTGCTTTTTATTGAGAGCTCTAGGAATCGGGCTATATTCAACCCAAATCTGACTCCGACCATACATCCGAAATGATCATGTTTTATACTCTATCGTTACATAATTTTCATGTTAATTATTAAACTTATATTGTTCTATTGTATACATAAATTTAGTCCCTCTCTGAATTTCCAACATAGTTTCTCGCTATTCTTCTTATAGTTATATAATAATTACATTTAATTACTAAACAATCATCACATCTAACAATTATATAATTTATCATACTGCTTACGCAGGTGCAGTTGATCTGGGAAAGCACAAAGCCTAACATTTTAGATTCTATCTTTAACTTTTTCCAGGGTTCCACTATCAGCAGGACCCCAGGTGGGGCAGGAGCCTGAGCTCTGTGGTTCACCAAACTGCAAAGGTGCTGCCTCCAGGTACAGTGGATGATGTTTCTTCTACTTTCCTCTTAAAAACAATTCTTAGGTTTGTGCCACCCTGACAACCTCAGGAGCATTCTATGATGTTTCAGTCTCTGGGAAATCCATTACCTGATCTGATCCTTTTCCAGGAGACCCCACAGTTACCTACCTGATGAAGGTCTGGGTGTGCAGGCAGCCACAAACCCAGGTGTGTCCAGCGGACCTCGGGTTCAAGGAGCACTCTTTTGGCCAAAACACTCTGATTTTATATTGTTGCAAGCCCTGAGGACATTCCCTGATTTTTGCCGACACATTTTCCCTTGGCCAATCAGAAAGCCACCCATCCATGTGGGGATGCTGGGGCTTCTCCTTTTCCCTCTCTGATGCAACAGCAGAGGCTGAGGTGCCTCCTGGGGCTGTTGCAATCAAAGGCACCGTTGTCCCCATGCAACACCTCTTGTGACACCTGTGGCACAGCATCACCGGGCTGTGGTGGCATGGCATGAACTGCCTGAGATGGACGAAAAACAGGCTGGTGGGTGCAGGCAGAAGTAGGAACCAGTCTCAACCAGTCTCTCCTGTGAGAGTAGTGAAGCCCTGGAACAAGTTGCCCAGAGGTTGCTGCCCCATCCCTGGAAGTGTCCAAGGCCAGGTTGGACAGGGCTTGGAGCAACCCGGGATAGTGGAAGGTGTCCCTGATCATGGTGGGAGTTGGAACTGGATGACCTTAAAAGCCCCTTCTTCCTCAAACCATTCTGAGATTCTCTGATAAAATATCTGTCTCTTCCTGTCCTGTCAGTTTGCTTAGGGAGCTGGTGCTCTGTGACACATAGAAACATTCAAAAAATTTTGGTTTCCTTCTTTTTTAGCATCACAAGAACAGCTTCATCCTTGCCAAGGTGACTTGCATTCCACTTGCCAGGAAGTGATAAGCCTAAGGATGCCTTTCTGATGTCTATTCAAATAGTCAAGCAGTGCAAAGAGGAAATCTGCTCAGGGGAGACCACACTTTACCTCATTCTGTCTGAATCCACTCACTGCTTCTGAAACTGCCCTACTTGGTACAAAATTTACAAATGTGGTTCAACTAGCAGCAAAATGCTATATAAAACTATGGCAAAATGCTGTATAAAAATGGGCAATCTATGGGAGATTTGGTGAAGGAAGGTGCACAGGGCCCTATCAGGCCTTAGAGGTGTGGACTTGATCAGGAGAGGTTTTGGATTTACAGGAATTCTGTGGTATTTCAGAAAGATAAAGATCAAGGTGGCTCATGGAGGAAAGATCATGAGAGAGAAAGAAGCAATGTATCCATGGCTGCTTCCTGGCCACGCCGTACATCCGTCTTATTACCTGTCCTGCATTCCTAGTGAACTTTATTTGTACCTCTTTTTGTACAAACAGTCTGTGCTGTGTCTCCAGGGTGCTGGTCCATTGCTCAGAGACGCCAAAGCTCTTGGAGCTGGATCCTGGAGAGGGGAATGGAAATTGAGGTTGGATACATCAGGGACACAGGGGCTCGTGTCTTCTCTCAGAGAGATGCACGGAATCATGGAATGGTTTGGGTTGGAAGGAACTTCAGAATTCATCTCATTGCAACCTCTGCCATGGGCAGGGACACCTTCCACTATCCCAGGATGCTCCAAGCCCCATCCAACCTGGCCTTGATGCATGATGGGGACATTCCTTGAGCATCAATCTGTAGAAGTAGGACTGGGAGTCCATTGCTGGGTCCTTGGAATATCTTTGCTCCTGGAGGTTTGGAACCAGACTCAGGACCTGCCCAGAGCCAGCACAGCCAGGGATTGCTGCTTATGGTGTGGAAACAGCTTCTGTAATCCCCACTGCAGGGAGGCCATGGCTGGGGCCAGCCCTGCCGTGGGAAGCTGCTCTGACCTGGGAATCTTGAGCTCAACCCCATCAGAGCTTCAGCTTGGCCTTGCTGATCCAGACCCAGACTTGGACCCACAGCTGGCACCCTGATCTGATCTACCCTGTCCCCACAGCAATGCTCAATACCCCAGGAGAGGCTGCTCCCACCCCTGGCTGCCCTGTTCCATGGAGGGGAGCACTGGGTGTCCCCAGCATCCCCATGGTCACTGCCCCATGGCAGTGCAGGGGCCACCCCCATGGCCCCCATGAGCTGAGCATCCTGGATCTGCACACCAGCCATCCACAATGACCCACCTGAGCTCCTAACTGAGCCCCCAGGCCTTGAAACCCTCCCAGCACTGACCCCCAACTCAATCCCAAGCTCTTTAGAAGCCCCATGGCACAGCCATCCCTATTTCCTCTGGAACAGAATGACTTCTCCTATCCCCCAGACACCCCTGGACCCTACAACACCCCTTGTGCCACAGAGCTGGGGATGGACCCAAGGACACCAGGCCAGTGTGTGTCCCATGGAACAGCCCCACAAGGACTCCTGACCCAGCCTGGGAGCCAGTGTTCAACCAGCAGGACCCCAGTGAAATTAGGGTGGTCACAGCCACCCCTCCACCCTGTGTGAGAGGTGCTGGGGCCCTCTTTCTGAACAACAAGGCTGGCAGTGGGGTCCCTGTGAGTGTCACCCGTGTCCCCTTTCCCACCACAGGTGGAGATGCTGGTGTGGCTGAGGCCACCAAGGAGAGAGGGAGGATGGTGGGACGGTGTTTGTGTGTCCATATCTGTCAGGAATTCACCCCATCCCCTCTGCCCTTCCCTACACACAGAGGAAAGAGATGCACACCCAGGATACACATCTTGGCAGTGGCAATGACCACCACCTTGTATTGGGGACACTAGGGGATGGGATTCCCATGGGATCCAGGTCTGGCTGTGCTTGGTGCCTCCGGGCAGCATCATCCCGACGGGCTGGTGTCCTGCTCAGGGATCCAGGAGCCCATCAGGAATACCAGCGCCTGTGGAACGGAAAGGTCTGGCAGTGCCTGTCTCACCAGGGCAGCAGTGAGGCTCAGCAGTGCCCTGTACGCTCAGGCTGCAGAATCCCTGGTTTTCCCCCAACAGCCTCACCCCGAACCCCAACAGCAGCAGCAGCCCCGAACTCACATCCGACAGCAGAATTCCCGCTCGGAGCAGAGGCCGATGCGGCCGATCCCCGGCGGGCAGGAGCGGTGGGAGCAGAATCCCCCGCGGCGCTCGCACTCCTGGGCTGATGCTCCAACCGGGGACAGCCCTGCAGGACACGGAGAGAGGAGATGTCACAGACATCTTTTATGAAAAATCTTTTCCTTAGGATTTTTCCTCCTGAGAAGCTGAGAGGCCTCAGGAGCAAAATGTGAACATTGATTATCTGCTGCTGTGGAATGCAATAGGTGGATCTGTGATTGGTCTCATGTGGTTGTTTGTAATTAATGGCCAGTCACAGTGAGCTGGCTCGGACAGAGTCCGAGCCACAAGCCTTTGTTATCATTCTTTCTTTTTCTATTCTTAGCCAGCCTTCTGATGAAATCCTTTCTTCTATTCTTTTAGTATAGTTTTAATATAATATATATCATAAAATAATAAATCAAGCCTTCTGAAACATGGAGTCAGATCCTCATCTCTTCCCTCATCCTGAGACCCCTGTGAACATGGTCACAAGGAGACTTTCAGCCGAGATGCTGAGCACTGCCCCTGGTCCCTGCGTGGCCAGAGTTAGCCCAGCCCTGCTTGTCCCCTGCCACAGCTGCTGAGCAGGTGCCTGCAGCAGAAATCCAGGTGAGTTTGTGGCATTTGGATGGGAGACAGTCACTACACCCCTAAGCAGACTCTGGGAGAGGTCTCCATCGTGCCTGCTGCCTTCTTCCTGGAGCAAGGAAGAACTCCAAGGGTAGAAGCAGGATTTCCCTTCCTCCCTTCTCCTCCTCCTCTCCAGCAGATCTGCTGTGCCCAGTACTGCTGACTCATAAATGCAAGGGTCAGGAGGCATGGAGAGGGGTCAAATCCCAGGTTTGGAAGGATGAGAGCTTTAATACAATGCCCCAGCTCTGGTCCCAACAGCACAACCTGCACCTGGAGTCTTTCCTTAAAGATGTGGGGTCAGAGGGCCTCCAGCAGGGATGGCACAGCCACCAGGAGAACTGACACCTGACTCATCAGCTCCGGTGACAAATCCTCCCTAAAAAGCACCGACAGAGGAGACAAACCCTCCACATTTCTTACCTGTCACTCCCTGGAGCACCAGGAGGAGCAGAGCACAGAGGACGGGCAGGATCCGCATGCCTGGGAGTCGCCTGCAGAGTCGCAGCTCTGTGGGGAAGAGAAAGGAGGCAGAGGTGAGTGGGAGGGTCCCTTCCTGCAGGTCGTGCAGGGGACAGAACCGAGCAGAGGGGATGTGACCAGTCACTGGTGGGAGGATGCGCTCAGCAGCCTGGGATTCGGAGCTTCCTGGCACCAGCAGCAGCAGTTTGGTCCCTCCACGTCTCACAATATCCCTTGGGATGGCTGAGTCCTCCAAATGTCCAGCCCCAAAGCTCCTTTTTCTGTTCCTTGCCCTGACAGAAAAACAAGCAGAGCTTTCCTCATCTGACACCTGAGAAGGATTCTCAGGCCTCCAGCCCAGGATCTTGTGTCATCCTGCCTTGCATAAGCACTTCTCAGTGCTGTGGTTTGCTGGACAGCTCTGGGGACACAGACACAGAGCATCCCTGTTCGTTGGGCCTTGGCAAACACTCAGCTTTCACCACACAAAGGAGCTCTGTCCTCCTCCCCCCGCGGGAAGCGAGCTCTCTATGCTTCACTTGAAAATAACTGGGAAGACGCCACTTGGGATGACATCCACAGCCCTAGGAAGGACAAGCTTTAATTGTGGCTTTGTTTGGTGGAGTTTGCTGTGTGTAACCCTTTGCTGTTTGATGGAGCATCTTCATAAACGTGTTCATTCTTGCTGCAGTTTCATCAAGTGCTACTGTTGGGGTCTCTAGCTGGTCAGAATGACCCTGACAAAAGTTAGAAAGTCTCTTTTCCCAGCCTGGCACTCGAAGAAAGAGTCAGGGCTCTTCATTTCTTGGTCTCAAGGTTTTTTATTGTATCTTATCTATAAAATTCTTTCTCCTGTCCTGCCGAGGTCCATCCAGCAGGACAGTTCCAGGCACTCTGCCTGCCCCTGGGGCAGTGTTATGTCTTTATACTAAAAACTACGTGTACAATGTTTACAATTACTTTCCAATACCTATCACCTATGTTAGACAGTGAGCTTCTACTCTAAACCAATCTGTAAGTGCCAACATCACAGCAGAAGATGGAGGCTGAGAAGAAGGAGGAAGGCTGGACACGCAGAGATCCCTTCATCTTGCCCCCCTGAACCCCCATTCTAAAAACCCCAAAATCTGCTTTTTCACCTTGTGATAAATTCACTATCGTTCTACTTAATTTGTCTGGCTTGCAGATCTTCATACAAGGCTGGTAACTTGCTCCATGGATCATAATCAAAACCACAGGCCTTTTGGGCTCTGTGCCAGGGTCTCTGAGCCCCCTGGCAGGGGTATTGGCCATCCTGGACAGCCAGAGGGATGTCCTGGGTCCTGACATGTTATATGTGTGGGGGTGGATGTTAAAAACACACTCGTGAGCGCTCACATGAATAATGGAATCACGCAATGATTTGGTTTGGAAGGGACCAGGAGGCTCCAGCCAGCTGCCATGGGCAGGGACATCTTCCAGTAGGTGTTCCAAGCCCCATCCAATCTGTCTTTGAACACTTCCAGGGATGGGGCTGTCACCACATTTTTCTTTGCAGAGAAAAGCAAAGCACAACCTCCCAAAAATATTCTGAGATTCATATTCTCTGAACCTCAGAGAAAAAAAAATCCTTATCTGATTTTCTGCATCAGTGTTGTTCACAAGGGAAATACATTGTAGAAATTCGTTTACTTAAAAAATATTAGTAATTAAATTTTAGTGTGAGTGTTTTAATTCACTAACCAATTAAATCCAAGTATGTGTGTGTTGGGACTGTCAGCTGACAGTCACAAGATACTGTGCAGTTGAGTGCACAGTTAAATACTTAAGAAATTCAATTTAAATATAATGTAATGTAATATAATGTAATGTAATATAATGTAATGTAATGTAATATAATATAATATAATATTATATTATATTATATTATATTATATTATATTATATAATATTTAGCCTTCTAATAAAATAGAGTCCTCCTCATCATTCCTTCCTTCATTGGAAATACCTTATTTCTGATATGGGGCAGCCACAGCTCCTCTGGGCAATACATGAATATGCCTTTGATCCAAAAAACTCACCATATTTCATTGTTTTGTCACTCCCCAGTGACAAACAACTCTACAAAGTATTGTACAAACTATTTGCAGATCTGTACCCAGGGAGATCACTACTATTCTGCCCTGGTAGACAGAGCACTCAGGGCAGTTTCTTATTTCCTTCACCACTGAAGGAAATCCTGATCCTACAGCTGCAGCCAGAAAAAGGGAAAAGGCCATGCCCCAATTCTTTTTTAATATCTGCTGAGCTGTCTTGGCATCAAAACCCAGGAGAGAAGGGAGCGGGAGCAGCTATGTCCAGTAGTCAGGTTCCTTACGGGCTTCATTAAGGGGGCAATTAGCTGCATCTCTGTGCTATTGCTCTTTAGCACAGGCATCAGCTTAATCCCTGGAAGTGTCCAAGGCCAGCCTGGACAGGGCTTGGAGCAATCTAGGATAGTGGAAAGTGTCCCTGGTCATGGTGGGTAGGTTGGTTCTATATTATTTTAAGGCCCGTTCCAACCCAAACCATTTTATGATTCTTGGATTCTATGAGTTTGAATGTGTAGAGTGCTGGGGAGATGGGACTGGGATAAGAAGCAGGGAGGAGATGTGGAGCATGGATCCTAGAGGGTTTCAGCCTGTTTCACCCTAAACTGGCTCTTGAAGCCATTCCCCAGCCATAAAGGCAAGGACAGATCTTTGTGGTGGTGAGTTAAAGCATGATAAGCCTGGATTCTGCATGATGCTGGCTACAGGCAGATGAATCTAAAATTACAGGGGCTGAACTCTCCCTGCAAAGTCCTCAGTCCTTGAGCATAAATCTTGTGCCATTCCAGTTTGTAAAACATTCTCCTAGCGTGGATTGTGCAAAAATCTCTTAGGACATCAACTGTAAATTGCTGGTTTGGCTCCACTTGGCAACTTCCTGAGGTTTCCATCCAGGGAGATCCCTTGGAGGAGGCTGTTGGCCCAGCTTCCTGCCCTGCACAAGGCTGTGGTTTCAATGGTGCCAGAGGCATTTGCAGAAATACCTGCTTTGAACAGACCCACAGACTGAGGGAGCTGGGCCTGTTCAGTCTGGAGAATACTGAGAGGGAATCTCAACAATCCATATAAACATCCCCAAGGGGTTTCAGACGATGGTGACTGACTCTTCAGTGGTGCCCAGCCACAGGACGAGGAGCAATGGCCATAAACTGAAACACAAGAAATTCCACTTCTACTTAAGGAGGAACTTCTTTATGTTGAGGGTGGCAGAGCACTGAACAGCTGCCCAGGGAGGGTGTGGAGTTTCCTCTTTGGAGACATTCCAAACACACCTGGATGTGTTCCTGTGTCACATGCTCCAGGTGACCCTGCCTTGGCAGGGAAGTTGGACTGGATGATCTCCAGAGGGCCTTCCAACCCTAAAAATTCTGTGATTCTGTGAGGGTGGGCAAATGTTTTGGGGCAGTTCAGGGCTTCCAGTCAGTCCTTTGCACTTGGATTGGTTGCTTCCCTTAAAAACTCAGCCACTACTGCTCCTCCCTTCACAGAAACACAGAATGGTTTGGATGGGAAGGGATCTTAAAAATCATCTAATTCCAACTCCCTGCCATGGGCAGGGACACCTTCCACTATCCCAGGTTGTTCTAAGCCCCATCCAACCTGGCCTTGGACATTTCCAGGGATGGGGCAGCCACAGCTTCTCTGGACACCAAGGATTCCTTGCCAGGACAAGGATGCTCCTGACTGTGCAGAGACGAGTTCTCTGAGCAGCCTGCACCTTCTAGGTTTTCTGTTGTGGTCCAGGACAGTTCAGGCTGAATCTCTTGGAAGAGCAGTGATCAGAGGCACAGTGGGGTTGGTCTCTCAAATGTTTCTATAATTGCCTCAAGCAATGTCACAGGTCGAACTGTGATCTCCTGATTTGCAACTGCAGCCAATATAAATTTTGCAGATTCACTCCAAATTTATGACAGACAGAAATGGCAAGGGTAAAATCAGACCTCAGATTACCAATTTGTCCTGCTCAGTGTGACTTTAGTTCCCATAATAAAACAATATGCTGTTCCCAGGTCTGAAAGCTCTGGATCAGAAGGTGGGAACCCAAAGTTTTCAGAGCAGAGGTGCTGTGAAGTGTCACACTGGAGAAGACTTTTGTGCTCCCAGTGGAAATGGTGACTGATCTCAGTCATGACAGAGAATTCCCCAGCAGGCATGTGTGGAGAACTTGCCAGCACTCACTAAATCAGCAGTCCAAGAGGGGTAAATATTTTGGTGAACTACACATTCCTGGCAGGTTTAAATTAATGTCAGAACTCATGTTTAAAATTTGTTTGTGAACTACACATTCCTGCCAGGTTTAGATTCATTTCAGAATTCTTGTTTAAAATTCTTAATGGAAATAAGACATGGGGAATGAATTACTTTTGGAAATGAACGACAACACCACACAGGGCAGCCATGCAACCTCCCCACATCTTGCTTTTATTGAAAGGAGAGTGACAAATCCTTGGTGGCTACTGCAACAATTCCTTGAATCCAATGATGGCAAAAGCAATCACTCCTGGGGATTCTCCACAGTTAGCCACACTACAACCTACAGAAAGGAAAGGATCTTCAGAATTATGATTATCAGGAAAATCCTGCTGCTTGGGATTCACATGATGATTTGGGAAGTCATCTTTGCCCCAGACAAATCCTAAACTTACCACCTACAGCAGCTGTACCCGGAACGACAGGAGCCCAGGTAATCATTGCCACGAGGGCATTTCCCCCTGTGGCAGAAGGTCCCACGATAGCCACACTCCATGTAAGGCCTCCTGGGTCTTGCCAAGCTTCTACCTTAAAAAAGAACAAACAAACAAAGATGGGAGACATTTTATTTCCTGCAGGGATTTGCATTTTGCTTAATCCCTGTGAGCTGACAAGGACGTGACAGTTCACTCCTCAGAGGAGGAGTCTGTGGGCACAACGACCAAGCAAACACTTTAATTCCTTCTTCCCTGCCAAAATAGGATTCCCACATTCAAACTGCCTTTTGGGAACGGCCAGCAGCCTGTGCTATTCCCAGAACAGGTTTTATCCATGAAGGTGCTAATAGTCAGGGATCAAAACAACCCCAGGGAGCAGACCAGCAATTAGGCAGGAGGTTGCCTGGCCCTGTTTGGTCAATTAATAAAAATGCAAGCCTGGCAGCCAAAGTGTTCTGGATGCACCTGACTGAGTGCACATGAACCAATTAATTCCAGTTTCCAGCTCATCCATGGAACATTGCAAAATATTCAGAGAGAGGGGAGCTTGTTCCAGCCAACAGGAAATGGATATTAAATATGGACAGTGCATCCAGCACATCCCTGCTGGGCTGGATTCCCAGCATGTGAGTAGAGTGATACATACACACGCAGAAAATCCCAGGGAGTAATAAAGGACTGGTTTAAAGGGTGAATAAAACACTCCTGGTCTCAAACTAGCAGTCTATGAGGCATTGTGAGCAGTCTGAGCTCTCAGGAACACTTTTCTTCCCAGATACAGATAAATTTCTGGCTTTAATATACCCAGAAGGTCCTACTGAAAACAAGCCAAACATCTCCTGTGTGTTAAATAAGGACATAAATCAGACCAAAGGAACTCTTTGCCTCTGGGAACTGGCACAGGAAGAGGCCCAGGTAAGAATAACACCAGATTACCACATAAAATCCTAGAATCACAGACTCCTTTAGGTTGGAAAAGACCTTTAACATCATCAAGTCCGATTGTTAACCCAGCACTGCCAAGCCCACCATTAATCCATGTCCTCAGGTGCCACATCCAGATGGCTTTTAAATCCCTCCAGGGATATATCTATGACACTTTTCCCAAATTTCTGGTCTGCTGCAGTTCTTCACAGTCTTTTCCCATCCTTACATCCCTAGAGGACACTTTCCATCGTGTTCCCACAGAGATCAAAACACCACCAGCCCCTGCTTGTGCACAGAGCACCCTGCAAATGTGGCTGTGCCATTTTCAGGGCTGATATTTAAATACAATCCCTTTTTTCCGGATAATAGAGTTGGTTTGGGGTTTCAGACTCCTTTGCACCCCCCAATAGGCATCATGATTTTGTGCCTCTCCATCTTTTGTCCCAGCTCCTAAAGCAAAGGATATTTGAAGAACATGGGTCCAGATTCCTTTTTCTTTTTTTTTTTTTTCTGTGTGGTTTAAAAATACTTGATCATGATTTAATTTGTTTGTTGGGTGACTCAGAGGCAAAGAGATTTAAGTACAAGCCTGCAGGGTTTAATGGGGAAAACACTGGTGCTGAATGGTAATTTTGGTGCTGCCCCTTTTGAATTGATGTTTGGAATATTTGCCTGCTAATTTCACTTTTCATCTGTAATCTCCAATGAGTTTTGATGATTTATGTGAGGATTCTTTGCAGAAGGCAACTTGGTCACAAAGGGGACAGGAGACATTTGCAAGACACCAACACCTTCTCCCTAGTCCCTCACCTTACCTGCAGCTCCCTGAAATGCCACCAAGAGGAGAACAAGGAGCAAAGGAAGGATTTTCATGACAGAGGGTGGGCTGGGATCCTGGGTCACTGCAGAGAAAGGAGACCAGGACATTGGTTAGAGCCTTGTCCCTCCATAGTCCCAGAAGTGACACAGAGAAATGTTCTTCAAGAGCTGGAAGTTACCTAAATGAGGTTATTACACATTTTTGTCATGATTGTGTCTATTGTCCTAAGATTTTCCTGGAGCATATATAGGATCATGGCATATGATGCAAAAAATTCAATCTTCCATGCAAAATATTCAATTCTATATCCCCTTTTAATTAATGCACCTAGTGACCAGAAATTTATCCTGAATTTCTCGATAACTTGTGATACATTGCAATAAATTTGATTTGCCTTATAGAAGATAAATTCAGAATTTAATTAATCAATTAATTAATTAATGTTAATTCAGAAAATAAGACAATTTTTGCTAGATTTATACAAAACAACCCCATGGGTTTTCTCAAGCTTTTCTACTAAAAAAAAAAGAGCAGAAAAAGCAGTTTTCTTCCCGATTAACTCAAAATCCAGCTTCTCCTTATTCTTGCTTAGAGGCTGTTGTTTATTCATCCCCTAAAGAATTACATTATTTCCAGGATAAATTTTTGAGTATTTGCATTTCCTGCAGCCAACAAAACCTCCTTTTCCTTATCAACATTTGACACCTCTAGAACTGGCTCATGACAGACTGGAGCCACTGCACAGTTAAGGCTGTAAAACAAAATGCAGATAAACAAGAAAGAAATGAAGTCTCCATCCCATTTAAGGACAAAACCTTTTGAGAGAAGCTGAATAATGAGAATATTTTGGTTGTTACCAGGTAAGAGGAGCTCTAGGCTGGAATCAGGACCAGTGTCAGCCACCTGGATGAAGATGAAGATGAAGGAGTAGAGTGTGGGTTTGTGCTGTTTCTGGAGGATGCTGAGGGATGTTTGACCTTCACAGCCTTCTGGTGGCCAATGAGGCTTTGGGGAGCTCTGGGGGCACCCAATGAATCCTCTTTGCTGTTGTCCTAAGAGGAACCAAGGTCTGGCTTTCAAACCATTGCGGCATGGCCATAGGAAATGTGTCAAGATGAGAAAAACCACCCTGGGCCTCCTCCCTTTGAGCAACCCTTTGGCCACAGCAGCTCACTCAAGGTCTCTGTTTCCATCTGTTTTCAGAGGTTATATATTTCCTTACAAGCATGAACAATATATCATCATAGAAGTAAAATAATCATCAGCTGAAATGTTAAAATAAAACTCCACCAAACCTATGTTAAATGGAAAATAAGTTCTTCTTTGGAAGTTCAGGAAGAGGATTAATGGGCTGTCATTAATTCTACATTATCACTGCTGTTGGGAGGGAAAATCTGGGCAATTAAGACCATGGAAAAGATCTGCACTAGGGAATGGTAGGGAAAAAATGAGAGAGGAAAAGAGAAATTGAAAGAGTTAAGAATGAAAAAGGAAAAAGTGGTTTGGGGTTTTTTCACATTTTTGCACCAAAACATTTTCATCACCAGGTTACCTGCATGGCACATAAGATATTTTATGCCATCTCTATTTATGGAAATTATCACAGCCCATGCCCAGCAATTTTAGTTTTATCATCTTTATTCTCTTGCCATGGGCAGAAGAGTTCTCTGAGAACAGCATCCTCCTTTCTCACCAAGGATTTCTCCAATGGCTTCCTGCTTTTTACAGACATTTCTACAAGTTCAGGTGCCTGTTGCAAAGGGATCTTCACTTCCCTTTTATCCCTCTTTCCTCCTTGAATCGGCCCCATTCCGTGGGAGGTGCAGTTCTCTGGAGCTGAGCTCATTTCTGGGCTCGCCCTTCGTGCCCTGCAGGGATTTTTCTTAGATCTCTTTGTTTTCTTTCCCAATCAAAGCAACTATTTCACGGAGGCTTCCAGCACAGCCCTGTCAGCAGCTTTCAGGCTGCCCTCAGGCTTCTTGTTTCTTTGGGCTGCTCCTTTGGGTGCTTTTCTTTCCTCATTTTTACTTTTTTTTTTGAGGTCAAATACATGTTGAACCTGCTTGGTGGTCCCACAACGTGGTTACACATAATTGTGCTGTGGTCACTTTTACACAGCAGCTCCCACAAACAGCATTGGAATTGGAATTTGCACTTAATCCAGGAAGGCAAATGTTCTTATGCATGCCAGGACCAGCTGCTCTAAGAATCACCACTGTACAGCAAGAAAAATGTACATTTTTCAGGGGGAAAATCTAATGTCTGCACTGCCTGGCGTCATCCACAATCACCTGTCAGATCTGCTCTGCTGCATTGCCTCAGGCAAGGGAAGGACCTGCAGAAAGTGTGCCCAGGTCCCCAAATCCTTTAGGGCAGGGCTGTTGCTGAAACCCTTCCCTGAGGTGTTGTGAGGTGTTTGCAGACAGATGTGCAGCCAAACATCTGGGCTGAAAAATGGCTCAGCACATGAGGAACAGCCGGCTCTGTGTGATGGCACCAAGCCCAGGTCTTGGGGTCCCCAGCACAAGAAAGACTTTGAGCTGCTGGAGAGAGTCCAGAGGAGGCCATGGAGATGGTCCAAGGGCTGGAGCCATGGCCAGGGACAGCTTTCAGCATGTCAGATTCCTCCAAGCCCTGTCCAGCCTGGCCTTGGACACTTCCAGGGATCCAGGGGCAGCCACAGTTTCTCTGGGCACCCTGTGCCAGGGCCTCACCACCCTCACAGCCAAGAATTCCTTCCCAAATTCCCATCTATTCCTGCCCTCTGCCAGTGGGAAGCCATTCCTTGTGTCCTGTCCCTCCACGCTGTCCTGGTTTGAAAAGGAATTGAGTTTTTGGGATGCTGTGGTCAAACCAAAAAACTCACTTCCTTTTCAAACCAGGACACTTGCCTTGTCCCAAATCCTTCTCCAGCTCTCCCTTTAGGCCCTGGAAGAGGCTCTGAGGTCTCCCTGAATCGTTCTCTTCTCCAGGATGTTGCTTTTTTGGAGACACGAGGAGTTTTTTAGCAAAAGAGGCTCCTGAGTGCTGCAATCCAGCAGAGAAAAGTGCAGCCAAACCGGTGGCTGGGAGGCAGCCAGAGCAACTGGGAGCTGGCAGAGGAGCTGGGGAGGGTGTCTAGCTCTGGGAATATCTTCTGGAAAGCCTTCTGGCTTCCTCTTTCTCTGCCTGGCAAAGCTCCGGGGTGATGATGGCACAGGATTTATTCCTGGCTTGGAACACAGGAGGAGAGACTGAGGAGAGACAGCTGAGACTCCTCAGGGTGGGAATGATGGTGATGGAGGGCAGGGGGGATGAGATGATGGGGTTCACATCTTCTGTGGGTGACAAGAAAGGTCACATTGTGCCTGCATGGACCCTGGCAGATTCCTCACTGCCGAATTTGCAAAAAGGGTTCTTCCCCATCCCACTCTCCGGTCTGGAAGAGGCTTTGGTGCCCATTAGAGGCTGAGTTGTGCTTTGTATGCTGAAAATTGGGTTTTCTAGGAATGGGCCACGTGGTATTTGCGGCTGTGGAGGACAGAGACAGCCAAGGCTGAGCTTCACTTGGCTCCAGAGCCCTCATTACACCCCTGACTTTGTTAAAATGCTTCGCTGGAGATGGGCCCAGCAGCCCAACATCATTAATTAATGAAACACAAATAGGGGCAGGGCAGTGGGACAGGAAAATTGGGTTGTCCGTTACACCCAAAGGGCCCCCAAACCCAATCAGATGGAGTTGAGGCTGCAAAGATGCCAAATTCCTGGTAAAAAGCAGTGTTGGAGACCCACAGAGAGCCTGGGGATGCTCCCATGAGCAGGGAAACCAGGCAAGGACATTTCTGAGCAGTTTGCTGGCTACTGTTATATAGCAGAGCCTGGGCTTTATTGCCATAAAAATCAATAAAATATAAAAAAAAAAAAAAAAAAAAAACCAAAAAAAAAAACAAAAAAAAAAAACAAGAAATGTATGAAAGTCCCAGAACACAGGTACATCCAACAGCCCAGCTGATGTACAAAGTTTTGGGAGCTTCCTGCAGCATATTGCAAAAACCACCAAAACCAGAGGTGATATTTTGCCTTAATTAAACCCCTTTTTGTGGCTTTTCCTGTAGCGACCTGCTGGGAATTTATTTTCTATAAAGATATCAGGGCTGGAGGCTGCCGGGCTGGAAATTGGGATAAAAAGCAAATGCACACCAGAGGGCTCCTGCAAGCTCGGATGCTCGGGATCCCATTTCACAGCGGTTTCATCTCTGTGGTGAGGCGGGAAAACAGCGGGATTAGTTCATGGCTCTGTGCACGCCATGTCCCAGCTGCCACCTAGTGTCATCCCCGCGACACGGGGACATCGCACGGGGGACATCGCACGGGGGACATCGGGGTGGGCCTGACCGGTGCACAACAATTTGGGGCACATCGGGGTGGGCTTGTGCCAGCGAACAACAGCACAGGGAGCAATGGGATGGGCTTGAGACGGTGCTGAAGAATTCAGGGGACATCAGGGTGGGTTTGTGACAGTGCACAAGAGCCGGGGGACATCGGGATGGGCTTGTGCCACCGCACGGGGGACATCGGGGTGGGTTTGTGGCACCGCTCAAGAGCCCGGGGGACATCGGTGAGGGTTTGTGACACCGCACAACAATTTGGGGGGTACGGGATGGGCTTGTGGCAGAGCACAGCAGCTCCAGGGGTCTCGGATGCTCGGTCTCTGTGTCCCCAAGCCCCCGGGGGTGGCGCAAGCACCGTGATGTCACACTGCCCGGGGAGGGGACACTGGGGGAGGTGCCCGGTGAGGGCGGGCGGAGCGGGACCGGCCCCGGCGGCTCCTTCTTCCTCCTCCTCCTCCTCCTCCTCCTCCTCCTCCTCCTCCCCGTCCTGCTCCCAGGATGCGCGGGGCCGTGCCCAGCCTCAGCCTGACGCTGCTGGCGGCGGAGAGCGGCGCCCGTGAGTGAGCGCGCAGGATGCGCGGGGGATGCGCGGGGGCGTGCGGGGCTGCGCTCGGGCGGAGGGGAGGGGGAAGGCGGATGGGATGCTGGAAGGGCGGGTGGGATGCTGGAAAGGTGGGTGGGATGCTGGAAAGGCGGGTGGGATGCTGGCAGTGACGCCTTTGCGGCCATCCCGGGGATACCGAATCCCCTCCGTGTACCGGGGAGGGGGGGGGGTTCATCCCTGCGCCCGCGCTTGGGGAGATCCGCAGTTCTGCTCCCGCCATCCCCACGGGCCCGGCCCTCCTCTTGGGTTTTTTTTTTTCATATTTGAAAAATGGACATTTTTTAAAATTTATTTATTTGTTTATTTTGGAGCCCGAGCTTTTTATCAGAGCTTTCCTGGGGGCCGGGCCCCTCGGTGGCGGTGGCTGCGCCTCAGCTGACAACGCCACCGGGAGCCGGCAGCTGGAGATAAGCCCAGGACAAGGGCTGGGAGATGGAGTTCTGGCGGGAATGGCTTTAAACTGACAGAGAGCAGGTTTACATTGGATATTAGGAGGAAATTCTTCCCTGTGAGGGTGGGGAGGCCCTGGCACAGGGTGCCCAGAGAAGCTGTGGCTGCCCCTGGATCCCTGGAAGTGTACAAGGCCATGCTGGATGGGGCTTGGAGCACCCTGGGATAGTAGAGGGTGTCCCTGCCCATGGCAGGGGTGGAATGAGAGGAGCTTTAAGGTCCCTTCCCACCCAAACCAATCTGGGATTCTCTGGCTATGAATTGCACCGCTCAGTTGCTGGGGGGGGTGTGGCTGTGTCATCCCTCATCACCGCCTCTCTGCCCTTCTCCAGGGCTCTGTGCCATCATCCACTACCTTGTCCGGGGCCAGCTGGGCTGGTTCGGGCTCACCATGGCCTGCCTGGTGCCCGGCTACGCCGCTCAGCTCCTCAGCATCCTCTGGTTCCGGGCAGACGGACACGCACCCGGCTGCTGCCTCCTGGCGCTCCACCTCCTGCAGCTGGGCCTCTGGAAGCGGTGAGAGACACTCTCCGCCATCCACCCACCCCCCACAACCCGGCTGCAGCCCCAGATTTCCTCCAAGCAGCGTGGGCATCCCGTCACGGTGGCTCTTGCAGGTACTGGGATGTTCTGCGGGCGGCGGCCAAGGCGGGCGGCGGTGCCGGGGAGCTGCTGGCTCAGCTCGGGGATGTTTGTGTGCTGCGGCTCCTGGAGGCCCTGCTGCAGACCCTGCCTCACCTCCTGCTCCAGACCTACGTGGTGGTGGCCGTGGACCCAGCAGGCTTCATCCCTGGTGAGTTCTCAGGGGGATGGTTCAGGGGTGAGGGATGTGTGTGCCCTCCCTGGAGGGATGTGCTGCAGAGGGACTGGGAAGCCTCAATGAATAGTAGCAGGGAAATGCCTGGCTGACAGATGTGCTGTGGCTGAATGCAAAGGTGGCTGCTTTGCCCCAAAGGTGAATTTTCAGATGTGCAAAGAGGGAGGTTGCAGTGTGGAGTCACAGCATGTGCAATGTCACACTTGCTCATTGTCCATCTGTGGTCTGATGGCAGTGACTGGGCTGGAGCTGCCCTGGGGCAGAGCTCTGTCCATGGAGACAGAGGGTATCCACAGGGAGATACTCAGAGAGTACTCTGGGTGCTCAGAGAGTATCCACAGGGAGATGCTGAGCATGGAGAGACCAGATTTAGGAGGACTTAGTTGAAATGCTCTAGTTTCATCCCTGGTAACATTCAAGTCAGGTTGCAGTGTCACTGTTGAGTCAGGAACGAAATGAAGTGACACATTAACTCTCTACTTTAACATAAACTCACACATAAACTCTAACTCCGGCTAATCCCAAGTTTATTGGAAACTCATTCCTTTTTATACACTGTTCTGATACAGGTGGACCTGATTGGTTGTTTAATCAACACCCCATCACCATTGGTTAATTAGGAAGACACCCTTTGGTAAACATCTTATGAGAAAACAACTGTTTAAAACACCAGCTGCAAGATTGTTTTAGTTCTTTCTCTCAGCCTTCTCAAAAGTCCCCAGAACAATTCCTGGGAAAGTTTATCTGGTTTTCTCTCTCTGACCAAACTGTCACAACCACAGGACAGGGCTCTGAGCAACCTGGTCTGGTGGAAGGGGTCCCTGCTCATTGCAAGGGACTGGGCTAGATGGCCTTTAAGGTCCCTTCAGTCATTCCTTGATTCTGTGATTCACTTGGCAGGATCGAGGGGTGTCTGGCTTGTATGGGGGTGCTGTGCTGCCAACACCTCCTTAACACAGAGAATTGTCCCTGCTGTGCATTTGGGCCTCCATCAGAGCCCTGACTGCCCCTGTCCCCACACAGGTGTCAGTGCAGGGCTGTCCCTGCTGTCCCTGGCCTGGGCTTTGGTCTCCTACAGCCACTTCACCTTCCTGATGAAGCCTGGACACCTGAGCCCACCAGCTGCTGTCATCCTGTGCCTGCTGCTCTGGAGGACAGGGATGCTGGGCACCCGGGTGCTGGCCCTGGTGCTCTTTGCCAGGCTCTATTCCTTCTGGGTTTTTGCTGTGGCAGGTAAGGCCTGAGATCCTGTTCCCCACATCCCACCCCAATGTTCTCGGGTTTGTTGTTGCTGGAATGGCTCCTGAGGTATTAAAGAGTCTTTTTTTCCAAGCCCCATGACCAAAGAAGAAGTCGAGATTCCTCAGCTCTGGTTTTTAGGGTTGTTTATTTTCTCTTATTTATTACATTATTTTTCTCTTATTTATTACATTCTATTTATTACATTTATTACATTCTGCTGAGGTCTCTCTGGCAGATCAGGTTGAGGCACACTGACTGCCCTCAGGGCAGTGTTATCTTTTTATACTAAAAACTATGTGTACTTTATTTACAATAATTTTCCAATGCCTATCACCTATGTTAGACAGTCTGTCTCTAAACCAATCCAAAAGTGTCACCATCACAGCAGAAAATGGAGGGCAAGAAGAAGGAGAAGAAGGACAGGACACACCCAGATTCCTCCATCTTACCTCTTGAACCCTCATTTTAAAAATCCCAAAATTCTCCTTTTTCACCCTGTGATGAATTCACTAACATTCTACTCAAACCCTTGTGGCTTGGAAATCTTCACACAAAGTTGATAATTGCTTCCATGGGTTAAAATCGAAGGCACAGGTGTTTTTTACTCCATGCCAAGGTCTCTGAGCCCCCTGCCATGGTCTTGAGCCATCCAGGGCAGCCAGAGGAATGTCCTGGGTTCTGACACAATGTCAGCCCTGCCATGCTGCTGTTTGCAGCCTCTCCTGGGCATGGCTTTGCAAATCCAGTCCTTTCTCCCTGCAGGGGTGCACTGGCTGCTCATGTCCTTCTGGCTGGGGGCCCAGCAGACAGATATTGTGGCCCAGCCGTGCCGCTGGAGGCTCTTCAACTGCCTGCTGGGAGCTGTCTACATCTTCTGCTACATCAACGTCCGCCCCGGCCCCTCCAGGACCAGGGTGGCCGTGTTTTATGCAGTGAGTACCTGAAATTGTTTTGTATTCTGCATGGATGAAGCTGATGGGGATGAGCAACAGCTTCAGACTCTCCATTTTCATCTCTCACATCACCACTTGCTCAGAATGCAGAGTTTTGCTGTGTCCTGACAAAGCCGCGTGGTCCCCAAGGTGTCTTCTGCACTGGGTTTGATTCCTGTCAATGGTAAAAAGTAGGTGAAGACCTTGCAGAAAGTTCATGGTTTGACAGCTTTTATGTTTTAAGTGACAAATTAGTGCAAAATGTAACAGGAGAAGTGCTCAAGGCCAGGTTGGATGGGGCTGGGAGCAACCTGGGATGGTGGAAAGTGTCCCTGCTCATGGCAGGGAGTGCAATAAGATGAGCTTTAAGGTCCCTTCTGACCCAAACCATTTTGTGATTCTAAGAATCCATTAAAATCTAGAAAATGTGTGTTGTCTGTTGTGAGAGGCACATCTAAAACCATCAGAAGGATATAATGATGAGTATCTTCCCTCTGCCTTGCAGATAATGCTGATGGAGAACACGCTCCTGCTGCTGTTGGGCACCCGGTTCCTGCAGGTAGAGCTGAGGAGCAGCCTGACTGTGACTGGGGCTGTCATGTCAGGGTCCTTAATAGGTAAGAACATTGATTTTAGAGCCTGGATTGCACATTTTGAGAGTAGTTTCAGGAAATGAACATCCAGACTTCTGTCCCCAGTCCCTCTCCAGCTCTTCTGGAGCCACTTTAGGCCCTGAAGGGGCTCTGAGCTCTCCCTGGATCCTTCTCTTCTCCAGGAAAGCACCCCCAGCTCTCCCAGCCTGGCTCCAGAGCAGAGGGGCTCCAGTCCTTGGAGCATTTTTGTGCCAAGCAGCGTCATATTTTCCCAGAGGGATGGGGGCAGAGGGAAGTTGTGCAACTCCCCAGACCCTCAGCTCAACCATGTTAAAAAATGGGATGGAAAAGGAGCAATTCCTGTGGTCTTGGATGAGTTTAGGGTAAAAGTAGGAAGCTGTCTTAGAAACTGGCTGGTTTAAAGGCCAGAGGATGGGGATGCTGTACATGGAAGGTTTCTTTCATCACACATCTCTCTGCTTTCAGTCTGCAAATTAATCCAGATTAAATTTGGGGTTGAGTGTGCACTTCCTTAGCCAAAATCTGCTCAAGTGGGATTCTTGCATCCCATAAATGCTGGAAAGATGTGCTGCTCATACACCTGATTCTCAGCAGCATCTTTGCAGAGTTCCTGTTGATCTGGAGGTGCCTCAAGGTCTGGCCTCTTCTCCACAGCTGACCAAAATGCTGCTGGGACTCCTCAGTGACACTTTTCTGCTCCTTTCCAGGTGTCACAGCTCTGGTGATTTACTACAGCCTGCTCCACCCCAAGTCCACAGAGATCTGGCAGGGATTCCTGGAGACAATGTGCAGTCCTGCAGCAGCTGGGGATGAGGAGGGGTCTGGAGAGAGCTCCCAAGCTGAGCAGAGTTCAGGGACTTTGGCAGATGAGGAGTCCTTGCCAGTGGAAGGGACCAAGACGGAGCCCAAAAAGGAGACCAGCTCATCACTGCTGCAGTCCAAGGGGGGTTTGGAGGACAGCTGGACAGACCATCACCACTGGCTGCTGGTGAAGCTGGCCTTGAAGACAGGAGATGTGTCTGTGATCAACGCAGCTTTCGGGGATGGCGGCGTGGGAGAGGCTTTTCCTGGAGGATGGATGATGGGGAAAGCCCCTGGAGCTGAGCCTGGGGCAAACCTTTCCCTCCCCATGAGGGACATCCCTCCCTCTGGACTGGCAGTGGGGAATGGAGGAGGCATCAAAGCCAGTGCTGGTGCTCTGGGAATGGCACAGGAGGATGGAGCAGGGCAGGAGCCTGATTTTCCCCCATCCACATCCCACCCCAGTGGCTTCTCCCCGGATTCCACCGAGAGCTCCTCTGTGTATTTCAGTGCAAGTGCAGGAGGCATCATCTCACCTGGGACAGGGACAGCCGCAAGCATGGCCCTGGTGCAACGGGACAGCAAAGCTCAGCCTCCCCCAGGCTGCCTGGGAGAAGGAGGAGGAGGAAGAGGAGGGGATTCATCCCTTGGGATGCCCAGCATCAGCCCAATCCTGGGCGCTTGTGCCCACAAGTGTCTGCAGAGAAGCTCTTCCTTTGGCAACACGGGCAGCTGTGGGGTGGCAGGTCTCCCCAAAGAGGGCTCAGAGCTCACGGGGACAGAGGGTGCCCTTGTGGGGTGCCAGCACCTTTGGGACACCCACCCTTGTGGCCCGCAGGGGACTGTGGTGAGGAGCAAGCTGAGGTCACCGTGCTTCACCTCCACCCCCAAGGCCGGCCCTAAATACTCCCAGCGAGGACTGGGGGAGCTGGGAGAGGGGACAGACCAGTCTGGGTGACCAGAGTGACCCTGTAAATGTCACCTTGGGCCAGCCTTGGGGTGGCTG